CTTGATACTCATGGTAACAAAAGACTTGCAGTACTAGCTACCTTCGGGCATAGCGTGGACTGGTGCTGTGCAGCCTTCTTCTACAGAGCTTAGATAAAGCACCTGAATGCTGACTAGCTTCATTCCTCTTATTTTTGTCCGGCTGTGTCTACACTGGCCACATAACCCGTAATAGCTATGGAAATGAGAGAAGTCAGAATAGGGAAATGCGCGGGGGATTTAAATATCCCCCGCGGGATTTAAATAAACATGGCCACCGCTTTTTTCCGGCTTGGGGAAAAGCCTACTTGCAAGTAGGAATAAGAGATCCTCTGGAATTCCGGAGGATCGCGCCAGTCTGGACGCTCTTTTCTGGCTTTTCCCCAAGCCGGAAAAAAGCGGTGGCTATGTTTATTTAAATCCCGCGGGGGATATTTAAATCCCCCGCGCATTTCCCTATTCTGACTTCTCTCATTTCCATAGCTATTACGGGTTATGTGGCCAGTGTAGACACAGCCTCCTTGAATTGCTCTTCAGCAAAGACAGGAAAATGTGTCAAATCACATTAACCTGTGATATGTGCTTCTGATACATGTTCTTGCCAACATTGGAAGCGAGAGCTATCGACTGATCAGTAAATAGATATGAACATTTTAGGAGAGAAATAAGACTTCTTTTTGCCTCTGTTGCTACATGTGGGGATATACATAAGAGCTTTTTTGCAGGGAAGTAATGGGAATAATGAAAATGTTGCTAGAATATTTGTTCTTTCCCTGGCTTCAAACTTGTTGGGATCCCCATGGTTCTATTGTGTTATCCTTCCTGTTCAGTGTTGATGTACAGTATTGTGCTGAGGAAGAAAATGGTATGCAATGCCAAGAATATGTGGCTGTACTTAGCTGTACATCTCCTTTTCTTGAATCTGGCTTCTCTAGTCTTCCCTGTCAACAATGTCAGACAGAGGTAGGCCTATGTTTATGCCAGATAAGATAGAAGTCATGGTGATGTGTAAGAAGAAATGGGGAGGTCTTGTGCCATCATTTGTTATATCTGCATTCTCTGATGGGTCCCAGTTAATCAAAACTCTTAATTTTAAGCACATGAGTAGTCCCATTCATGCTTACATAGTTTTGAACTTTCATGAAAAATGGTGATAAGAATTATGTGGAAATTCTTGCTAATTTTTTTTAAGCAGCCCTGCTTGCCTCAGTGATCTGTGTATTTGTCACTGTGAGGGAGTGAAGAGAGGAGGGCCTGGCATCACAAGGGTTAAACAAAGCCTTTTGGCCAAGCTATCCCCACCCCATTTTACCTGCAGCCAATACTTGCAGCCAAGGCTTGGAGGGAGGATAAAAGGAAGGCGCCTGGCTTAGTTAGGGTCTGACCAGCAAGAAGACAGGAACGTGGTTCCACAGGACACAAAACACAAAGCTGGTCCACTTGGCCAGCCACAGGAACAAACTACCCCACTCCCTAGGATAAAGAGAAGAACCTACTAGAAACCCTAAGTGGGGAATCTGGAGGAAGGAGCCATACCAGCAGCTGGAGGAGCAGAGGAATGGGTGGGGGTGGGGCAGGGGCAGAACAGACATGAGTTCAGAATTCATAGGGAGCATGGGGCAGAAATGATGGCGAGCTAGAGAGCAGAACAGATGTGGGGGTAAAATTGATAGGGGACAGATGGATAGGCAGGTGTGATATTCTTCTCATTTCTGCAAAAAAATGATATGGCCCTCTTTCTACTTTCAGACCACTTTAAATGCTGGTGCCATGTTCTTCTTAACTTTCTTGTTTACTTCACATAAAATTGAAAGTGTGTGTTGGAAAATATTCGGAATCCCTAATGGTCCAGCATTGAAATTCATGCTGCTGTAGAAGTTAAGATCTATTGTATTTCTCCTGCTGACTGTATCTGGAACTTAATTGTTTAAGATCACTGGTAGGTGATTCTCAGTTGAGAGTAATCAATAGGAGGATGGAAGGAGGTATGGCCTAGCCAAAGCTATAAATGCACCCCAATTTGCTGGTACCTTTCCTGGTACAAAGGCACAGTGTTGACTCCTATTCTGCTTCCCATCCAGTGTAATACCAAGGTCCTTTTATGCTGAACTGCTGCTTAACCAGTCATCCTCAGCCTGTAGCAGCACTTGGGATTCTTCCATCCCAAGTGAAAGACTCTGCACTTGTCCTTGTTGAACTTCATCAGATTTATTTTGGCCCAATCCTCCAGTTTGCCTACATCACTCTGGATCCTATCCCTACCCTCCAACATAGCTACCTCTCCCTTTAGCTTAGTGTCATCTGCAAACTTGCTGATGAATGCAATCCATCCTCTTATCCAGGTCATTAATAAAGATGTTGAACAAAACTGGCCCTATAATTGACCCTTGTGGTACTCTGCTTGGTATGGGCTACCAACCAGACGTTGAGCTGTTGATCACTATTCGTTGAGCCTGACAAACTAGCTAGCTTTCTATTCACCTTACAGTCTATCCAATCCATTCTTCTTTAACTTGCTGGCAAAAATACCATGGGAGAATGTATCAAAAGGTTTGCTAAAATCAAGGTATATCATGTCCATCACCTTCCCCATACCCACAGAAACAATTACTTCATCACAGAAGGCAGTCAGGTTGGTCAGGCATGACTTGCTCTTGGTGAATCCACGTTGTCTATTCCTGTTAATAAATTGCCCAGATGCTATAAGGGTAATTCATAGAAAGACCTGAATAAAAAACAGAAGTTCCCTTCCAAAATGAAGATAGTTGACACTGGACAAAGACAAGATCACCAAATTCATGTTTACCAGTGACCTAAATTGTAGCAAAACACAGATTGGAACAGAGGAAGGCAAGTACATTCAGAAACAATGGCAAATATAAGTGATAACTTCTGTCATATTGTGAGAATTCAGTTGCATAGTTAACCACTTCAGTATTATATAGAATCCTAGGTAAAATACACTTCCAGATCTGACCAAAGGACCTGTCATGTGCCATGTTGAAACATTAGAGAGACATGGTGGATGAGGTAGTATCTTTTATTTGACCAATTTCTGTTCTGAGACAACATCAATTGCTCCAATAAAAGATATTAACTCACCTACATTGTCTCGCTAATATCCTGGGATTAAAATGCAGCTACAGCAACACTGCATAAAACTTTGAAACGCTGGCCTTCCCATGCTACCATTATGGTGACATTTCCAAAAAAGCGCTTGTAAGCATAGTTGCCCCACACAAGATATGGTGGCACGATGTGTGGGAGGGATGACCACTTGGAGTTTTTATTACAGTCATGTGTTTGTTATCTGTGCCAGCTAAAAAAGCAACGGGTTAACTAGGGGAAATAAGAACTGACTGTGTTCAGACCCTTTCTGAAATTTAATTAGAAGAGTAGACAAAATAAGAACTGACCTGACTTAGACCCTTTCTGAGGTTGAATAAAGCTTGACTATCTTTGCCTTCCTATTGCTTTTCATTCTCCTAGATCCCTGCAGGTTTAATCAGGACTAGAAGCAGAGTGCCAAAGCACTGCATTAGAAGCTGGGCTTTTTAAGTGTTTTTGATGTCACCAGAGGTTAGAGGTAGTTTTGTTGACCCAACTGGTTTGGATAACGTTTGGATACATATCCAAACTTTTGGTTGCTGATGAATCCTGGGAGATTCATGTAGTTTTCACATGGCTACTAACTATATATCCTAAATCCATAAACTTTTTATACTTTCATATATGATCTAAAATTAGCTGATTGCTGTATCTTAAATAAGGAGATTAATTTTTCTTTTTTTTTAAATACTGTGCACACAGAAATATGAGAGCCCTTTGCTTTCTGTTACATGTGTGCAAACACACTGTGCAAAACATACAGTATGATGAATGATAGAATACAGCACATTGTTCCCTTGGATCAGCCTTAAGAATAATCATACTGTTCTTCTCCCTGCAGAATACTCATAAGATTGCTTTGTGGTCAGCAACATGGATTGAAAGGGCAGGGAGCTTGCAGTTGTAGCGTGTTCATCTCAGAAGAGGCCCACATGTTACACTGGAATACAAAACAGACTTTTTAATATATATTTTTAAACTGCTTCATGTGCAATGTGTTGGTGCAATAAGCAAAGCAAAGCTGCTGTATTTGCAGTGAACTCTGTCATTCATGACAGCAATTTTTATTCCTGTCCTAAAAATAATCTATATACATTGTGATTTTTCTCTGGTAGGTTATAGTCACAGCTCTGAATTTGGGTGCAAAAACAGGATAGGAAAATATTGAAAAGATGCAATATGACCTGAGGTTTTCAGCCTCTTATTTTCGCAAGTGACACAGGCTGAGATAAAGAACTATAGCTTTCCTTTGATTGACTGCATAAGGACTGATTATTACATTTCTCAATTTTAGATTACAATTGATATGAAAGCAAAACTGTCTTTCCTGTATGCCAGCTTGCCTTTATTGATATATTTTGCATCTGAACAGGAGCTGCTATATTCATTATTAATTATTATTATTGTTTATTGTTGTTTGTATTCTGGTTGTATCTAGGAATCCTAGTCCTGGATCGGGGGACTGCGCAAAAGCCTGTCTGTTGATTCATAAGGAGGCAAAGATCAGATGGGGGCTAAAATAGCTGAAACATATTCAAAACCAATCTTTGAAACAGTTCTTAGCCTTCTATAATGCAATTTAAAGGAAGATGTATTTGAATAGATTTCAAAGCTGTTTCTGAGGAACTGCTGCAGCTTGTGTTTTATTGCATTTTTTGAGGGGGAGGGAGGGAAGGTGTGACCTTTCTATGGGGAAAATATCACTAGGTGAAAGTGAATCCACTCTTGCTTGGGACATGGAGGTTCCAATGTTTCCTAAGGATTTCCTGCCCTAGGCACTAGATCATTCACATCTCCTTTCACTACACTGGAAATCTGTTTCCTGGAAATATTGCCATAGGAAAAGAGTAACCCAGAATGGTTAAAGGCACATTTCCTATCATGTAATAAGCATCATTCTTGGTTTATTGTAGATAACAGCTGCTGGAGGGCATCTGAAATTTACCATCTCCTATGACCTCACAGAGCAGGAAGAAGCTGTTCAAACAATATTGCATTCTGATATCATCATAGAGGTAAAGTATTTCTATTTTCAGTGACAAGTTTTGTCCTTCTCTTCTGTGAACACTGAAGGCTAATTAGTATCCAAAAGTGAGCAATCAAAATTGACATATAAAGGTGTACCAGCAGCCAACAGCAACAAATAAAGATCATACCTTAATGATTTAAAACTGCCTAGACAAGACTAAGTACCCAAAGGAGCCTCTGCAGCTACCAATGTTAGAAAATATTGTAGATTTACTACACATGTAGCAACGAACAAGAAAAGTGAGGAAATACAATACAATAGTAGACTGAAATAGCACTTGTAGACACTTTAAACCAGTATAACACTCCAGACATCCATACTATATAATAACATATATGCTATGCTGCAGTGGGTTATATGGATTTTCTCTGGCCCATGAAAAGCTATGCCACTGGTTTCCAATTGGATTACTTGGACTTTGCCTGCACTGATTTTCTGCAACAAAGCTCATGTCAGGAACATTGTAAATCCAGTGCATTCCTGGTATAGACTGTTCTTATCAAATATGTTTTCCGGTTCTTCTTTATACTAAATATCTTCAACAATACAGCATTTTTCTACCCCTTTTAAATATTTCATTGTCTCCCTAACACGTTGCTCTTTCTAGGGAGCTGGCTTAAGAATCAGCACTTCAGAAGAGGGCATTCACCTGCATCCATTTGAAGAACACACTGGAGAGGTTGTGCTGAAACCAGACAAATTTACTAAACATGGCACTGACTCTCTAGTCAGCAAAAGGGAATTCATGACTGCGCTGGCAAATATAAAAAGGCTTCTCATAAGAGCCACATACAGCAATGGGATGGATGCCATCTACAGGTAGATGTCGGAATTACATGTTTTGCAGCCCCTCTTATATATGCTTTTATTTCAATTTGTGCAGGGCTGAGGTTGTTGTAATTTAAATGGATGCTTAGTGTAGTTTTTTCTCAATTAAACCTCTAGCATTTATTTAAGTCTTAATATTTGCAAATAGTCTGCATTTTTCTATTCTGATTTTTTTTGGCTTCTGCTGGCAAACAGAGAAGTGAAATCCTGTGGATAAAGAGTGAATCACAATTCTACAAATAGATCTATTCTGTGGCAGTGCAGTTCCCTTGTAGATGAGTGATGCTGATGGCTCATAGTTCTGAGATGCCTTGGGTATGAGAGGAAGATCGTAATTTTTGGTTCCTCATTTAAAGAATAGGATGTTCAGACTATGCATCAGAGAGGGATCCTTTAGCTCTCAAAATGAATAACAACTAAATTGACAAAATATAGCTAGAAGGATTTTTTTTAAATCAGTATTGTATCTACAAGTAGCTAATCCCAAAACTTTCCACCTGATTTATGTCAGATTATTCTACTGTCTGGTCTTCTTAAAATGAATAGTTTAATTTGAAGTCTTCTGATCTCTTTCTATACAATGAGTGATATGTGCGCGGAGGGGCTTTATATGAGCCAGCACAGTGGCAATCCCATCTAGCTGGCTGCGCTGTGTAGTCTACATTGCCCACAAAAATCTGGTTCAGTCTATAAAGCTGGCTTTGGATTTGAAATTTCTATTAGTGCATTAGTGGACACTACAGGTGGACCAAAAGGCATCCAGGTTCCTGATACTGTAGGTTTATCATTTGCTAATACACTGTTGCTCAGTGACTTGAATTGTGTTTGTAAAACTTGGTTCTGGAAGTGATTCTGTTGCATAGTGGTTTTCCAATCACAGATTATCATTTACACAGTATAGACTAACCCACAAACCAGTCACTTCTGTTATCTAAACCAACTGGAGGAAGAAGGAGCTGACTCCACTCCTATGATTACCTGTCTTGAATGAACTATTATCTGAAGGAGGAGAATAATCAAAATCTCTGTGTTCCCCTGTTCCAATGGAACAGTAGTGCTCAACGTTGTTTAATTCACGACCCCGAAGGCCGGGAAAATTTTTGTCAAGCCAAAAAAAAAAGGCGCCGGGAACATTTTGTTGTCCCCTTTAATTTAAAGCCACTCCCCTGCCACTCTCCCCGCCCCCGCTGCACATACGTCGGGCGCCGAGCTGGGAAAACACAATTGGCGGCTGTCATGGTGCTGTGACTCCCCAGGAAGACAGCCACAGGTTGTGCATCGCTGCACTAGAACACGTTCCTAGACACAGTATGTGGAAGCATGGTAGCATTTCCAATATTTTATTTCACACCTTTATTTAGGGAGTTGAAAACTTAATCATTCAAGTAGTATCCAGCTGAAACATGACAAATAATTTGAAAGCAAATAAATACCAGTTTTGAAACTAAATCCCTCAAGCCACTATAGAAGGCAGCAAGGGGTGGAGAGGCAGGAAGGTAGGTCCGTGGAGCTGGCACGCGAGGGGAGCCTGCTTGAAAGTTGATTCCCCATGTGTACAGGCTCTTGATTGCCCTCCATGCTGCTGCCTCTCTATCAGAGGCAACAGGGTGGAGGTAGAGGGGACAGGCAGATCCAGTGCTCATGGGCGGCTATCCCCCTTTGAAGCCCGCTCCCCCCTCCCTTGCTACCTCTAATACAGAAGCAGCAAGGGGGGAGTAAATATGTGTAGTCAACAAGATTAACTGATAAGCCCAGGTGTAAAGTTTGTTACCTGGTGTTTTTATTTATCTGTCTTAACCATCACCCGTTTCGCGAGTCCTGAAGTTCGACCCACGCCATGCCTGCCCAGCGCTTGCCTTTCTCAGTTGTGATTTGGGCTAGTTCAAATCAAGTTGGGACGTAGTCTCGTAATGCCGCTCTGGGCGGTGGGTAGAGGAGGGTCCGGGCTCGCCCTCACTCATGGACCCCAGCCCAGGGTCCTAAGGACACAGACCTGATGTGGTCTTGTCCAGCTGGAGGGGCTTCCGTAAATGCCCTACCCTGGTCTGCTTCCTCTCCCCTCCCCGCCTTCTCCCACCTTCCTTTTAAATACCCCTCGTTCCAGTTCGGCATCCTTCCCCCTTCTGGTGAATGCCACCCTCTTTTCTCCTCCCCTCCGAACCCCCCCCCCTTGCCCA